CAATATCATATGCTAGTTATTATATTCAGCATTACCTTTTTTTCTACTCCCAAATCCTTCTCGTTTGAAGTTAAAAGATTGCCCTTTGGACCAACTTGGGTGGCGGTTTAAATAAGTAGAGTTAGTAGTCACTTGTGAATAAAAAACCACTTTAATTAAACAGAAAATCTTACCTTTAATTGTTGGTAGACTGATCCAACATATTATATTTATATTTAATAAATATATACACTTCAATTTGTATTATATTTGAAGTATACCAAAAGGCAAATTCTTATGCATATTTAAAGCTATAAACAATTGTGATTCTTGAGTTTCGGCTTAAAGGGAGCAGGGTTTGACTAGTTAACTAAATAAGCTCCAACTTAAGTTTTTAATACTCGAGTTTAGGCTCGAGCTTTGTTCATAATGAGTCAAATTTGATTTATTAACAAAGCGAGCTTCAACTTAGTTTGCTTATCGATTTTAGCGATTCGAACTCGAACTTTGATCAGTTGAACTTGTGCTTAAACGCATCTTATTAAAAAAATAAAAAAATGACATGAAAGCCTATATTCTCGAGGCTGACGAGTCGAGCTTAGACGAGACTGATAGTTTCTTTTAGCATTGCTAACCATATCATTGTCTTTATAAACATCATTACACTAATTTAGGCCAACAATTAACGGGACATTATTAAAGACATTAAATGAAAAGGGATATAATAATGGAATTATTGGGAGGTGTTGAAAAGGAAAGACGGCAGAGAGAGTAGGGACCAAACTGCAAATGTTGCTTTCGCAGCGCAGCACACACAGTATAGGGTGTGCGCCACTATACACTCAAAGGTGCAGGATTTGTCCGCCATTGAAATGGGGTTTTCAGCTTCAGCCAGGAGAAGATAAAAAGGAGAGAGAAATAAAACTGCAGCTGCAAGAAGCTTCGTGTTTTTTCGCGCGCCATTTGCAGCTGCAATAAGGTTTCTTTAGCTCCTTTTTTCGTTTTCCTTGAGAAACCCTTGAGGTTTGGAAACGTTGAAGCATTTCTACAGTGATAAACGGTGCAAACTGCTGAAATTTCAGTGGTGCTGAGTTTTGGTGTCCCTTTTCTGATTTTCCGGCGACATTTCAGAAAGATGCTCTGAATT